AATTTTATTTAGATTCATCTACTGAGAAAGAAGATGATCTGGAGAAAGAGGCTTCTAAATCTTGTATCGTGGTATGGTAGATTATAAAATCCTATTGATAATGAAATGTTTTATTGAATTCTACACTAATAAATTTATATAGTCATAGGGAAGTTCCTTTTTTCAAAAGATCTTAAACTTTTTAGTTTTCCCTGTTTCTAATGTGTCTCAGTCATACATAGTATTGTTTTGGTTGAATCAGCCCCAGAGTAGCTATGTTTAGGCAGCTGATTGGTTCGACTCCTTGCCCTTCACAGTCCAGGACATGGTAAGGGCAACAGCTTTTACATTATATAGTCACTTGTGAAATTGGACTCAGTAGTCAAGAACTGTTTTCAACACTGAATTTTACAAGGACTAATAGGGATCTGCTATGTGTGGCCTTTGGAATGACTAGATGATGCAATGACCTATAATCATTAATTCTAAACTCTTCTTCATCTAATGGGAGTTGAAATAAGAGAGAGTGGCCAAAGTATTATTTGCCTGGCTCCCTAAGCAGGAAAGGAGTATTTTTAATTGCCACTCTAAGGGCTGAATCTTTTCTCTGGGACATTTCAGGGAAAATCACCTCCAGTTAAGTTTACTGGGTAAAGTGACTTGATGATCAAATAAGTAAAAAGACAAAAAAAAAAAAAAATTAGAAAGCAAAAAAAAGTTATTTGCCTAAACTGTCTATTCAAATTTAGTTGTTTTCTGGATTCATTTAGATTCCTACACAGGGCTCTGTTACAATTTGAGTATCCCCAGATTTGGGAGTATTTAGGAGAGCATTTGTTTAAAGGTTTATTATAGTCTTAGGTACAAATAGATTGTTATACAAATAAAAATTTTCATTCACTTATTTATAATGAACTATAAGGTTTTCAGTCAAACTAGACTGTTCTGGCATATTTTCTCCCAGTTACTTGTAAAAGAAATAAACAAAAGAAACACAATTCATAGATGTTTGACAAAATGAAGTCTACTTTTAATTTGCTTACTTTATTACTCTATATAGAATTTAAAGTATTTTGTTTTGAATTATTATTATAAAATTTATTCACACATGTATCCAAGGATACATGTAATTAAGATACAGTCATACGTGTAACTTAATTATACATATGAATGTGCATATTTAAGGGTACCATGGGAAGGTCATGCAAGAAACAATTGTGTTTGGAAGGTTTATTTTAATCTTTCTTTCTCCCAATAGATGAACCCACTTTCTTCAGCATCTTCAGATCTTTTTGCTTATATCCAGTTCAATTCTGTTGAAGTTCATTATTCTCCTCCTAAATTCTATTACTGATTTTACTTAACCATTCAGAACCTTTTCTTAAATTCTATTACTGATTTTACTTAACCATTCAGAACCTTTTCTTCTGCTTTCATTGCCTTCTCCTAAACTCAATTACTAATAATGATTGAAGACACAAATATTTTACCTAAAAGAAGAACAAAGTGAATATTTGGGGGACTACTGAAAGTCATGAATCAACACTTTTATTACCACATTTCTGAATTAAGATATTTATTCTATTTTCCCTCTGTTTGAACTAAATTAACACCTTTTTAATATCTCTGATTTTTTTCCTATGCACTGCTTATTTATCTTGTAACATCTGACAAGATAGAGCCAAGAAGTTTTTCTCAATGTCAACTCTCATAATGTGTGGTTAGTATCGTATTATCCAGATTCTCTCTTATCCTCTAACTTTATTTTTTTCACTAGGAACATGGCAGATACTTCCCCAGTGTTCTTCTCACAGCTGCCTTTACCTCCTTGTTCTTCAGACTGTAGATGAGAGGATTCAGCATGGGGGTGACCACGTTGTACTGCACAGAGAAGATCAACTTCAGAGAGGATCCAGAGGTTGGCATGAGATAGCAGAGAAAACCTGAGCCCTAGAAAACAATCACTGTGGTGAGATGGGAGGAGTAGGGAGAAAATGCGTTGCTTCTGCCAGAAGTGAAGGTGGATGCTCAGGATGGTGAAGATAATGTGGATGTAAGAGAAGAAGACTGAGAAGATGGCTGAAGCAGTGCCTGTTATTCCCTGCAGTCAGAACTTGAAATAAGAGGTTATAGTCAAGAATACCCATGGGCTTCTCTTAAGTGTGCATTTCGAACTTCTGGGTTGAAGCAACTACCAAAACCGTCAAATGTGAACACTTGATAAGAAAGTTCATAGGAGACAGAGAAGGCAATGGGTATTTAACAATTTTCCTTTTAAAAAAGAAATATTTTTTAGTTGATACTTTAAGCCAAGTCCACCCAGGTAAATGTTCTGTGTACATGTGAGTTGGAGATAAAAATGAATGAAAAATTACAAGTTTAAAGGAAAGAAATTCAATAACCAGTCATTTTCATAAACTGCCCAGTATGTGTATTTATGTGTGTGTATATATATAAACATATATACATTTATTTCTATGTATAAACTATAAACTTGCATTTTGCTGATTTGCACAATAAAATATACCTCAAATACCAATGAATTGGATAACATATTTGTTCACCTCACCAATGTTGGCATTCAGAAACATGGGGAGGACTATAACCACATCCATGGAGGCAATGGACTATGAATAACCTGTGTCTATCAGTAGAGCACCTGTGACAAGGAGGTCACCATCAGGCTGTTTGATTAAATCAACTGGATCATTGTGTTGTCTGTCCCTGAAGGCAGTGGCGCTGGTGATGAACAACGACAAGCACTACTTTGAATGCTATTGCTAAAACATCATTGTAGGCCATGAACTGAAGCCCTGGCTTATTGTTCTTAATGTGCCCCCATCTCTTACTTCTAGCATGGCTAATCAGCCAATCCTTAGGTATAACCTGATTGATGATATTCTCAATATCGTGGTCTCTAATGGTGAAATTCCAGATAGCAAATGAAACAAGTCATTCCCAAAGGAAGTTCTTGACAACTATGAAATTCTGTATGATGAAGAGGTGGTATTACATTGGCCCAAATATATGGAAGAGAGATGATGCATGAGTAGAGGATCTTGTCATTACCAGCTTCTAGCCAAATATTGGACAAGTCTATCC